AATGGAGAAGAAGAGATTGCAGTGTGGTCATCCCCCAAGGGGGTGATTTCTCGCTTTCTGTCTCCCTGTCTCTCCAGCAAGCACACAGCCCTATAGTAAAAATCTCTCTCTAAAGAAAAGAAAAAATAGGGAACCAGCAGTTAGCGTAATGGCTATGTCGCTGGACTCCCACATAGTCGACCGCGGTTCGTGTCCCGGACCCGGTGGCTTAAAACTCATGCCGGGCGCGTGTGCGTGAGTGCCCAAGATCCCAAGAGGAGAATGGAGGAGAAGGGATTGCGGCGTGACCATCCCCCCTGGGGGGTGATTTCTTGCTTTCTGTCTCTATGTCTCTCTTGGTAGCCACCCCCGCCCTACAGTAAAAATCTCCCCAAAAAAAAAAAAAAAAAAAAAGAAAAGAAAAAATATTGCTGGAGCTGTGCAGCAGTGGAGTGATGGTTAAGGTGACGGACTCCCACATGGCTGACTGCAGTTCAAGTCCTGGACCTAGCAGCTTGCTTTGCTTTTTCACACTCTCTGGTGAAATAAAAATAATAAATTAAATTAAATAAATAATTTTCTCTGGTGAAATAAAAATAATAAATAAAATTAAATAAATAATTCTTTAAAAAAATTTGCTAATGGGTTCACATGCTCATGAGAGAGAAACAGAGAGAAAGAGAGAGAGAAGGAAAGTGAGAAAACACCTCTTTCTCTTCCCCTGCCCCATACACACACATAAGGGAGGTCACGCCACAATCCCTTCTTCGCTTCTCCTTGTGGGATTTTGGGCATGAAGGTTTTTCAGACCACTGAATCCAGGACTCAGATTACATAGTTGGCTATGTGAGATCTGTCTGTCTTAGCTCTCATTTCACCTGCTGCTTTTAAGATTCACTATCTCGGGACCAGCAGTTAGCGTAATGGCTATGCCACTGGACTCCCATTTAGTTGACCGCAAATTGCGTCCCAGACCGGCGGCTTAAAACTCACGCTTGGGCGCGTGTGCACACGTGCCCAAGATCCTGAGAGGAGAATGGAGAAGGGATTGCGGCATGGCCATCCCCCTTGAGGGGTGATTTCTCGCTTTCTGTCTCTCTGTCTCTGTCTGTCTGGCGAGTGCACACGCCTTATAGCGAAAAACCTCTTAAAAAAAAAAAAGGATTCACTATCTCTTGTTTTTGCCAGTTTTATTATAATGCCCTGGCCTGGGCCTCTTTGAGTTTATGTGCTTGGACATTATTGAGCTTCTTGGATTTGTATACCCATGCGTTTCCTCAAATTTTCCAAATTTCCTCCATTAGTTTTTCAAGTCTCAGTTTCTTTTTCTTCCTTTTTAGGCTCCAATTCTGTGCATATTGGTCTGCTTGATAGTGTCCTGTAAATCCCTTAGCCTCTTCTTTTTTTTTTTTTTTCCTTTTGCTCTTAATTTTTCTTTAAAGAATTATTTATTTATTTAATTCCATTTGTGATATATATATATATATAATTTGACCAGAGAGAGAGAAAGAGAGAAAGAAAGGGGAAATGAGGGAGCAAACCACCAGGTCCAGGACTCGAACTGCAGTCAGCTATGTGGGGATCCAACACCTTTATCCACAACACCACCCGCTGCCCCATCTCCTTTTGGTCTTTAAAGTCAATACTTTCAAATGATGTTCTCAGGTTTGCTGATTTTTGTTTGTCTGTTTGAATCGGCTGCTGAATCCCTCTAGTAAAAATTTCAAACCAGGTATTACATTTTTTAGTTTAAGATTTAAGAAAATAATTTCTCTTTGTCAGCATTCTCATTTTGTTCATACATCATCTTCCCGATTTCTTTTAATCCTTTATCTGTGTGTGTGTGTGTGTGTGTGTGTGTGTGTGTTTAGCTCTTTAGCTTAATTAAGACAGCTGTTCTAAATTCTTTGTCTAGTAAGCTCCCCATGCCTGTGTATTTTGTGGACTATCTCTGAAGATTCAAGTTGTTCCTTTGAATGGACCATCTCTCCCTGTTTCTTTGTATGCCTTAAGATCTTTTGTTGAAAACTGAGCATTTGAAAAAAAAAGTCACCTTATCAGTCTTTGAAGACTGGTGTGTAAGATGTAAGACTCTCACTAATCTGTAGGACCATGAGCCTTGGGATTAGTGGGATTAGCCCACATCTTCTCCATTTTTTTCTGGGCATGTTTCTTTTTTTTTTTTTTTTCTTTTTGTTTGAGGGGCTTTTGCTATAGGATATTTGGTCTTGCCAGGAAGACCGAGAAAACAAAAGGCAAGAAACCACACCCCCCGCCCCGCCCCCTGGAGAATGGCCACACCACAATCCCTTCTCCTCCATTCTCTTCTTGGGATCTTGGGCCCACACGCACATGCGCCTGGCATGAGTTTAAGCCACTGGGTCTGGGACTCGGACAACGGTCAACTACATGGAAGTCCAGCAACATAGCCATTACGCCAACTGCTGGTTCCTGAGCATGTTTCTTATCAGGGAATGTATAGGTGCTTCCTAACCTCCTTCCCACCTGCTTTTTTAATGTCTTAATTTTCCAAAGAATGTCACTCCAATTTCTTCTCAGAACATTAGATGTTCTATTGTATTCCTTTGTCTGTAACCTCTTGCTCTCAGGGTCTGTAATCCCTGTGTAGTTTTCATGTCTTGCATTTTCCTCTGCTGCCTTCTGTGACTTCCAGCCTGAAATCAAAAGAACAGTTTCCTATCTGGACTCTAAGTCAGGCAAGACAGAAAACCGGTCCCTGCGGCAGCCCTCAGGCCAGACTGTTGCAAACAAGTTTTGCTCTTGTTCTTCTGTCACAAGGGAGATAACTGAGGATTAGGTTCACGCTTTTTAATTGCACCGCACACACGCACGCACACACACACACACACACACACACACACACACAGGAGTGTATAAGGCAAAGTGAATAAAACACTCTGGCCCATAGAATGTTCTACTATTTTCAATGTAACTTTCTGATTGTTTTCCAAAACTCATTTATTCTAGTCAGCCTGTAGTTGTTTTATTTGATGTTTCCATGGCGAACAAAGACCTGGAACTTCCTGTTTTGCCCTCTTGTTGATGCCATTCTGTTTAAATTACTCCCCCCAGCCCCCGGTATTTCCTTTTCTCTATTCTTGACATTAATTTCTATTGATTTACCTTCTAGGTTCATTGATTGCTTTGTCTTGTAGAGTATGCTAGTGAATCCCTCCAGTAAAATTTTCATTTTCAGTTTCAAATTTTCTACTTGGCTGTCCTTTTGACATTGTTTCTCTGCTAAAAATTCATATATTTTTGAACCAACTGATGGCCTGGTGATTAAGGAGCTACATTCCACATGGCTGACCACATGGCTCAAGTCTCAGACCCCGCAGCCTGAAAAACACACCACATGTGTGTGCATGTGTGCCCAAAGTCCTGAAAGGAGATGGAAAAGGGACTGCAGCATGACCTTGTTTTAGCAAATAATTCACCTGATAGGTTCAGACTACAAGCTCTCCTGTGCAGTTTCTTCTCTACTTCGATGTTTAATCTTTGGTGATTTGAGAATGAGATAATACAATGATGAGCATTAAGCATTAAGTGCTCAAAAACACTGATGGTTTGGGACCAGCAGTTAGCAATAATGGCTATGTTGCTGGACTTCCACATAGTTGGTGGACTTCCAAATAGTTGGACTTCCACATAGCGGTTCGTGTCCCGGACCCAGAGGCTTAAACTCACACCGGGCGCGTGTGCCCAAGATCCCGAGAGGAGAATGGAGGAGAAGGGATTGCGGCGTGGCCATCCCCCCTGGGGGGTGATTTCTCGCTTTCTGTCTCTCTGTCTGTCTGGTGAGCACACGTGCCCTATAGCAAAAACCTCTCCAAAAAACCCCCAAAACACTGATGGTTCTTTTTCTTTTTAAAGTTTATTTTACTTACGGAGAGAGACAAGACAGATGCAGGTAGCCTTGACAGGGTTTCACCACATCACAATCATCACCCGAACTTCCAGCCAGCTAGGAACACAGGCATGTCCATGGAAAGGCGTCCTATTCAGGTTGACACATTATCTAAACCCAAGACCTCCCATATGGCCCCAGGACTGGGCCCTACTGGCTCTATCAGGACAGCTGAGCCAATGGGTATTGCTACATGTACATTTTCTATACGACTCATCATTTTGATTGGGAATACCAAAATAAAAAAATTAGGAACTCAGGCTGGCTCCATGTCTGAGAGGTTGAGGAAACCAGATCCCACGTGATGGTGTGGCTTGAGTCCTAGGCCCAGCAGCTTGAGAAACATTAACAGGTAGGTACCTGTATGTGCCCAAAATCTCGACAAGAGGGAGAGATGGAAGAGAAAGGATTGGAGTCTGACCGGCCCCCAAGGGGGTTGCTTCCTTGTCTCTCTGGCAAGTGTATATGTCCCACTTGCAATCAATTAGTAAGAACTAAGAAGTTAGATGTGTGGGAAATTGGCTTCCTGGAAGCTGATGACTGAAGGAAAAGTCATAAAGAACAGTATTTAAAAAAGTAAACTATTCCACACTATTTTTGTGGGCCTTGGATTTACTCTTAACTGATACTTTGCCAAGTGATATAAATGGCATTAATCAGAAAAGGATGTCATAAGGACACTTAAGGTCACTTGAAGGCATGCCTTTTAATTTTTATTTAAGAATTATTTTATCTAACTTTATTTATGTGTTTATTTATTTTAATTTGACCAGAGAGCAATAGGGTGAGAGGGAAAGTGAGAAAGCAAGCCGCCAGGTCAGAGACTCGAACCGCAGTTGGCCATGTGAGAGTCCAGCACCCTTAACCACCACGCCACCTGCTGGCCCCAAGGTGTATGCCTTTTATAAAACCCCATGTTAAACAAGAATGAGGACGAGAGAGCAAATAAGGAAATCACTTGCTGATATGCAGCATTGCTTTCCAATGAAATGATCCAAGTTTTCCATCGTATTTTATTGTGAAAGAAAAAACAAACAAACAAACTAGGATTATGTTTCCTAGTAATAGCATTCTCCATTTGCTCTCTTGTTAGATGGGTGAAAAAGAACATGGAACCGTCCGAGGACCTCGAGTCAGTGACCCGAAGGTTGTCCGCATTTGGCCCAATTCAGTCAGTCGCCGTTTGTGGACGCCAAACTGCCATCGTGGTGTTCAAAGACATAACCTCAGCTTGTCACGCTGTGAGCGCATTTCACAGCAAGGAGCGAGGCGCGGCGCTCCAGTGCTCCTGGCAACAGCAATTCATGGCTAAAGACGTAAGGCTTCTCCCTGGCAAAAACCTATGTGGGTTCTTAGAGCTGGTCTTATATAATTTTTTTAATCATCAGTGCTGTAGTGTAATGTAATGATTGCGACTGCTAGTTTTGCACTGAAAAAAGGCACGATGAAGTTTATTTAGTTCAGGTATGGAAAACCAGAGAAATAGGTCCCTTCCCCTTTGACAGGCTTAACTTCGCAGGAGTCGCCGTCACAGTTTTGCTTTCCTGGATAAGAAGTTCATGATCGCGTTCATGCAGTCCTCGGACTGCCACCGTTCCTCCAGGGTGATGCATTCTTCAGCGTTAACAGCACGAAGCTTTTCTCTCTCCCTGCTTCTGATGATGTTTTTCGAAACTCTCAGGGTCTAAAAAACAAAAAACAAAACAAAACAACAAAATGAAGGCTAAGAGGTAGTCTAAGAGGAGTGGGATTATTCTATGATTCTGATTCTTATTTCTCCAATGTTCATTTAATGATATTGCTTTTTTTTTTTTTTTGAAGAATTATTTAACTCCCTTTCTTTCTTTCCTTCCTTCCTTTCTTATTTTAATTTGACCAGAGAGGGACAGAATGAACCAGCGAGTGAGAGAGTGAGAGGAAGGGGGAAAGTAAGCTGCTAGTCCAGCACCCTAACCACCACGCCACCTGCTAATCCCCATTTAATACTTCTTATATTGTATGATACATGTTTAAGATGGTACATCTCAAACTCTAAAAAAAAAAGTTTATTCATGCGTTAAGGTGCTGGACTCCCACATGGCCGATCGTGGTTCATGTCCCGGACCTGATGGCTTCCTGTCTCTCTCTCTCTCTCTCTCGTGAGCACATGTACCCTGTAGCAAATTTGAAAATGATAATAATTCTTAATAAAATAAAAAAATTCTGAAAAAAAAAAGTTTATTCATTTTTTTTCATTTTTTTTTTTTTTTAAAAATTCTGAAAAAAAAAGTTTATTCATTTTTTTTTTTTCTGAGTGAGAGACAGAGACAGAGAGGGCACTCTGAACAGCATCCTCACACTGCAATCCAACGCAGCTCCAGCCAGACTGGGGTCATGGGCACGTGGGCCCTGGTGCACACAGGACTGTCCCTGGATGTGAACTGGCAACCTTCCCATGTGGGTCAGCCTTGTAAAGCACTGCTACCACTGCACCACTGTCTAGCCCCCCTCCGTGTGCATGTGAATCACCTCAAGCCTGTGATTATACATTTCTAAAAAGCCCAAATCATTGCTGGCTCCAAATCCTATATTTTGAATACCAAGAATATAAGAACAATCAGTCACGAACTACCACGTTTAAAAATAAAATAGCACACGGTAAAATAAATAAATAAAACAAGTAAATAAAAAGCTCAAGCTATCTTACTTGGATTCCAAAATAAAAGTGCTAGGAAATGCTGATGGTAATCCTCCTCAGTTACCCACCCCCATACAGAAGTGCTCCTCCACCCTCATGGCATAGAAACAGGATGCTTATTTGGTAAGAATGCAAAATCATTATTTCTAAATTCATACGTAAGTACACATACATATAAAGTCAACTGAAAATCTCTTTCCTTTTTTTTTAAGTTTATCTACCCATTTCTTCCATGAGCAACAGAGAGATTGGTACTTCCAAGAGAGTCTCCACGCTGCGATCCACCCTCAGCTCCAGCGAGCCTCAGATCCGGGGCACCCATGCACCAGGCATCCTCAGGGAGCTCTCCAGATGTAAATCTGGAACCTTCTCACGTGGATCAGTCTCACAGGGCACTGCATTATCTCTGTGCCTTTTTCTGGGCTCCCTATCTTTTTTTTTTTGGACAAGCAGATAAAGGCTTGTTTTATTTAAATGATTGTCTGAGTAACTGCCAATGCCACTATGTACAGACAAGAGACGGGGAGCTTTATTTCTTGGTCTCTTCCTCCTTGGACAGAGTCTTGATGATCCCTTCCTTGCGCATGAGTGCTTCCTTGGTCTTAGACCTGTGGGCCTCAGCCTGGTCTGCTAGGAGCTTCTTGCGGGCCTTGTCTGCCTTCAGCTTGTGGATGTGCTCCATGAGAGTCCTCTTGTTCTTGAGCATACTCCCCTTCACCTTCAGGTACAGGCTGTGATACATGTGGTCAATCTTCTTAGACTCCTGGTGTCTTCTGAGCAGCCGGCACAGGGTACTCATTCTCCTCATCCAGGTCACCTTCTCTGGCGTTCTAGTACTGGCCGTACCCTTTCGCTTACCTGTGCCCATATGCCTGCCCTTCTGGCATCGAGCCCAGGAATGGACAGTCAGTCACTGGCTTGCGGATGATCGTCCCATCCTTGAATGGCTTCCGGATCTGCTGATGGGAGTTGGCACTGGCAATTTCATTGGTCTCATTGGGGTCCAACCAGACCTTCTTTTTGCCACAGCGGAGGACACTAGAGGCAAGTCTCTTCTGAGGCCTGAGCATACTCATGGCTGTGGCTGCAGTGCCAAAAAGCCCTAGCTTATCTTTTTTATGACCTATTCTCTTTCTCTCTCTCTTTTTTTTTTTAAGAATTATTTTATTTAACTTTATTTATTTATATTTATTTATTTTAAATTTTGACCAGAGAGGGACAGAATGAGAGAGAAAGTAAGAAAGCAAGCCATCAGGTCCGGGACTCAAACATCAGTCAGCCATGAGTGAGTCCAGCACCCTTAACTACCATGACACCTGCCAGTCCCATGACCTAATCTCTTAAGACAAATCAATTTTTCTGGTAAGAAATGATCTCCATGGTTCCCACAAAGGAAAGATGAATACTGACATTTGCAGGGAGCTTGGCATATGCTTTCAGCCTGGTCCAGACTTCTCTCTGAAACGTGCTATCAGGAAAGACTTCGGTAACAAGTCCTTGAGCACATGCCTCCCCTGCTGTTAACTTCTTCCCAAAAACAAGCATCTCAGTTGCCTGAAATGAAAAGCAAAGTTAAGATACCAACTTGATAAAAACAAGGCTTCAGTTAACTTCAGAACTGATTGCTTCCAGGAGACAGATTTACTCAGGGTCTTTTGAGGTTGCTCTTATTTCTCCTAAGGGAGACACTGACGACCTCCATGGACCAACTGCAAACTGTGTGCGGTCACCATTACCAGCTCTCAGGAGGACGTCCAGGGCAGAAGTGACCTGAAGCAGATACTGATGCTATACCCACAGAGCAGCTATGGCTTTTCTATTTTATACACTAAAAACCATTACAGAGACCAGCAGTTAGCATAATGGCTATGTCACTGGACTCCTATGTAGTCGACTGCGGTTCGCGTCCTGGACCTGATGGCTTAAAACTCACACCGGGCACGTGTGTGTGCATGCCCAAGATCCCGAGAGGAGAACGGAGAAGGGACTGCGGCATGGCCATCCCCCCTGGGGGGTGATTTCTCACTTTCTGTCTCTCTGTCTCTGTCTGGCGAGCACACGCGCTCTATAGCAAAAACCTCTAAAAAAAAAATTACAACAGGGAAAAAAAAAGAAACAAAAATCATTGTCATAGGTCAACCTTTAGAAACTCAAAATTCCCTGTGGTTCTAGCTGTGAGTTTTCTTCATCTGCACAGATACTCAAAATATTTAACAATTATTAATCATTAACTGGCTGAAGGAAAGGAAAGAATATTTAGTTTCTGATAAGATGAAGGACATTAAATGGATAGTCTCTTTGCAACTGTCATTTCTCTTCCAGAAAAGTAAACATTATTTCAGAGCCTCAGAGTTGGTTCTGCCCAACCTTCAAAGTTTGAACATAACAAACTACGTGACAGCACAATATTTGAAAATACAAGGGGTCTTTAAAAAGTCCATGGGAAATGTGTATTATGAAAACCTATGCATGGATTTCAACTTTTCTTGCATCTAAATGAACTCATTTTCTCCATTTTTCCACAAATCTTTCTAAGTTCCCTCATATATATTAGGACATCAGAAAAGTCATGACATATTTCTCTGCTTTTCTTTTTTCTTTTTTATTTTTGGAGAGGTTTTTGCTATAGGGCATGTGTGCTCGCCAGACAGACGGAGAGAGACAGAAAGCGAGAAATCACCCCCCAGGGGGGATGGTCACGCCGCAATCCCTTCTCCTCCATTCTCCTCTCGGGATCTTGGGCACGCACGCGGCAGAAGTGACCTGAAGCAGATACTGATGCTATACCCACAGAGCAGCTATGGCTTTTCTATTTTATACACTAAAAACCATTACAGAGACCAGCAGTTAGCATAATGGCTATGTCACTGGACTCCTATGTAGTCGACTGCGGTTCGCGTCCTGGACCTGATGGCTTAAAACTCACACCGGGCACGTGTGTGTGCATGCCCAAGATCCCGAGAGGAGAACGGAGAAGGGACTGCGGCATGGCCATCCCCCCTGGGGGGTGATTTCTCACTTTCTGTCTCTCTGTCTCTGTCTGGCGAGCACACGCGCTCTATAGCAAAAACCTCTAAAAAAAAAATTACAACAGGGAAAAAAAAAGAAACAAAAATCATTGTCATAGGTCAACCTTTAGAAACTCAAAATTCCCTGTGGTTCTAGCTGTGAGTTTTCTTCATCTGCACAGATACTCAAAATATTTAACAATTATTAATCATTAACTGGCTGAAGGAAAGGAAAGAATATTTAGTTTCTGATAAGATGAAGGACATTAAATGGATAGTCTCTTTGCAACTGTCATTTCTCTTCCAGAAAAGTAAACATTATTTCAGAGCCTCAGAGTTGGTTCTGCCCAACCTTCAAAGTTTGAACATAACAAACTACGTGACAGCACAATATTTGAAAATACAAGGGGTCTTTAAAAAGTCCATGGGAAATGTGTATTATGAAAACCTATGCATGGATTTCAACTTTTCTTGCATCTAAATGAACTCATTTTCTCCATTTTTCCACAAATCTTTCTAAGTTCCCTCATATATATTAGGACATCAGAAAAGTCATGACATATTTCTCTGCTTTTCTTTTTTCTTTTTTATTTTTGGAGAGGTTTTTGCTATAGGGCATGTGTGCTCGCCAGACAGACGGAGAGAGACAGAAAGCGAGAAATCACCCCCCAGGGGGGATGGTCACGCCGCAATCCCTTCTCCTCCATTCTCCTCTCGGGATCTTGGGCACGCATGCACACACGTCTGGCCTGAGTTTTAAGCCACTGGGTCTAGGACGCGAACCGCAGTCAACTACATGGGAGTTCAGCGACATAGCCATTACGCTAACTGCTGGTCCCTCTTTGCTTTTCTATGCACAAACGCAATGTGACTTTTCTGGCGACCTTACATATATGTGTGTGTATGTATATATACACATACCTATTTTCACGGACTGTTAGTTTTTTCTTTGACATGTTTTATACAGCTTCTTTGTTTTATACATATAAAAGAAAAAACTAACGGTCCGTGAAAATAGGTTCGATTCCCATTTCCTCCACTTTGAGATCTTGAAGAACGTTTGCCAAACCTATGCCCCGACTCTCCAGCCTTCTCATGATCGCCTGACAATCATGTCCAACTATGGGCAACTTCGTTTCTACAGACAGTAACAGGCCTGAGCAACCACTTAACCACCCCGGGAGTTTAAATAAGTTGGCAAATCAGACTGACAGAAAGGCGGTTGCAGTTGGAGGTGGCTTTGGAAGCGGACAGCCCCTATGAAGCCTTTCACCTGCCGTGACTCTGGAAGTGCAGCTGTCACCTATCACTTCCAGTGACTGCTGCTCACCCATAAAGCAGTCAGTGGACCCTGAGCTCAGCAGACCAGACGAGGTAGGGAGAACCCGGAACCTTCCACTGACAAATGCCACACGGCTGTTGGCGATGAGGTCTTGAGCTGGTCACAATGCAGGTGGCACTAAGTAAGCAGGAGAAAGGAGTATCCCAGGCTGGGGAGTTTAGGAAAAACTTCTAATTTCCCCCTCACACCAGGTATTTCCCATAGCCTGGCTCTTCCACATGTAAAACTCAAATTAAGAGTTGGAGAGCACATCATTAGTGCCTATCTCTTTCGTCCATATGAGCAAATGGGAGAGAGAGCATGGGATTGCCCTGAGAATAGACAAGATTCACAAAACTTTATTTTCAAGCTTTCCAAATGTTACCTTGGCTGAGCCCATGATCTTCGGAAACGTGTAGGAGGAACAGCCTTCTGGACTTTGGCCTAGCGCACTGAATGGGGTATGGAACGTTGCCTGTGGGGTGGGAGGGAGAGAGGAGAAAACCATTTTTTCATATGTCATTTATTTATTTATTTATTTATTGCTATAAGGTATGTGCATTTGGCTGAAACAGTAAGCAAGAGAGAGAGAGAGAGAGAAAGTGAGGAAGCACCCCAGGGGGATGCCATGCCACAATCCCTTCTCCTCCATTTTCCTTCTCAAGATTTTGGGTATGCATGCACATGCACTTGGCATGATTTTCAAGCTGCTAGGCACAGGATGAGAACCACACAGCTGGCCATGTGGGATCCAGTCCCCCTAACCACCACACCAATGGCTGGCCCCATATATGATTAAGAAACAACTTTATTCAAATATTTCTTTTATAAGAGAGAGGTATCACAAAAGGGTGTCCACACTGTGATCCACCCCCAGTCCTGGCTGGCCCAGGTCACTAGCATGTACATACCTAGTGTGCCCAGGGAGGTCCCAAGACCTTTCCTATGTGGGTCCAGTTGCACTACTGAGTTCCTCATAGATAATTAAAAAAAAAAAAAATCACTATTGGGGGTCAGCAGGTGGTATGCTGTTTAACACTGGATTCTCACATGGCCAAATGTGGTTCAAGTACCAGACCCAGCGGCTTGAAAAACACCATGATTTTTTTTTTGTGAGGGTTTTTCTGCGCCCACCAGAAAGACAGAGACAGAGAGACAAAAACCGAGAAATTACCCCCCCCCCGGGGGGATGGCCACGCTGCAATCCCTTCTCCTCCATTCTCCTCTCGGGGTCTTGGGCACACATGCACACGCGCCCGGCGTGAGTTTAAGCCACCGGGTCCGGGACTCGAACCGCGGTCGACTACATGGGAGTTCAGCAACATAGCCATTACACTAACTGCTGGTCCCAAAAACCACAATAATTAAGTAGATAAATATGTAAATGCTCTTTTTAAAAAAATCACAATTGGCTTATAACTTCACATTACATAATGGAAATTTTTTTTAAACAAAGTTTACTCTTTTAAAGTGTGTGGTCTAATGAGTTTTAACAAATACAGAGTCATACAGATGCCACCATTACCAAATGCAGAACATTTTCATCACCAGGAAAGTTCCCCATGCCCATCTATACTCCACTGGTTCCCCCTGCCACACGTAACCACCGACACGCTTCTGTCCCTGTAGTTCTGCCTTTTCTAGAACATCATAAAAACGGAATCCTGCATCCTGTAGCCTTTTGAGTCTGGCTTCTGTCACTTAGAATAAGGCTTCTGAGTCATCACCTTACTAAATCTATCAGTTCTTTGTTCTTTGTTAGTTCTGAGCGATAGTCCCTTATTCGGCCACGTCACAATTTATTTATCCATTCACCAGTTAATGCCAGTGGTGGGGTCTCCATTATTTTGGCTCGTATGAATAAGGCTGTTATGAAAGACATTAGGTTGTACACCTTAAATAGATACAATTCCCATTTGTTAATTATACCTCAAGGAAGCTGAAAAAATTTTTTTGTTAAGTAGAAAAGAAAGGTTTACTAATCACTTCACATTGGCTAAAAAAAATTTAAGTATATTGTTCAGATAATTCTAACATTTCATTTGTGTATAGGTCTCTGTGTGAACATGCATGTGTTTTCAAGTCTAATGAGTTGCTAGACTATGTGGTACATGTATGTTCAATCTAAAAGGAGCTGCCAAGTTGGGTGTGGCAGCTAAGGTGCTAAACTCCCACATGGTTGACTGCAGTTCAAGTTCTGCACCTGGAGGCTTGAAAATCATCCTGGGTATGTGTGCATGCATGCCTTAAATCCCAAGAGGAATATAGAGGAGAAGGGATTGTGGCATGGCCATCCCCCTGGTGGGTGATTTCTCACTTTCTTCCTTTCTCTCTTTCTGGTGAGTGCATGTGCCCTATGGAAAAAAACTAAAAAAGCTGCTAAGAACTGTTTCCAACCTTGGTTGTATATGACAGTCCTACCAGCAGTGTATGGGAGTTCTAGTTGCTCCACATCCTTATTCAATCATGTTATTACTGGTCCTTTTCATCTTAACCATGCTTGAGCTATGTAGCGGTACGTCATTATGGTTTTAATTTATATTCCCCTAACAGTTAACAACATGGATGGGACCAGCAGTTGGCATAATGGCTATGTCGCTGGGCTCCCATGTAGTTGACAGTGGTTTGAGTCCTAGACCCGGTGGCTTAAACTCACACTGGTGCGTGTACATGCGTGCCCAAGATCCCGAGAGGAGAATGAAGGAGAAGGGATTGTGATGTGGCCATCCCCCCGGGAGGTGATTTCTCGCTTTCTGTCTCTGTCTCTCTGGTGAGCACATGCGCCCTATAGCAAAAACCTCTCCCCAAAAAAACAAAACAAGGGAACCAGCAGTTAACAACATTGAGTGTCTTTTCATATACTTACTAGCCATGTGTTTATTTTCTCTGGTAAAGTAACTTACAATGTTTTGCCCACTAGTTTTTAAGTTAAACTGTTTATCTTTTTCTTGCATATTCAGGTTATAAGACTTTTATCAGATTAGTGTCATCCAGATTACTTTCTCCAAGTCTGTGGCTTATCTTTTAATTATTTTCCTATTGAGTGTCTTTTCATAAACTTACTAGCCATGTGTTTATTTTCTCTGGGAAAGTAACTTACAATGTTTTGCCCACTAGTTTTTAAGTTAAACTGTTTATCTTTTTCTTACATATTCAGGTTACAAGACTTTCATCAGATTAGTGTCGTCCAGGTTACTTTCTCCTAGTCTGTGGCTTATCTTTTAATTATTTTCCTAACAGTGTTATTCTCACCTATATATTTTCAAGTTTATTTATTTCTCCCATGAGAAAGAGGGACAGAGAGGAAGTCTACCAGACATTCCACAGTGGGTTTTCATGTCATGATTAACTCCTAGCCTCAGCCAGAGAGGATCATGGACACACATGTATGCAGTCTTAGCATGTGTGGGGAGACCTTGTGACACAAACCTGGGACCTTCCCATATGGTCTCAGCATTGCCTAGTGTTACGTTACTACTGTGGCTGGCCTCCTGTGAATATTTTTTTTCAAGTTTCTTTTATGAGTAAGAGAGACAGAGAGAGAAAAAGAGAGAGAGAGAGTGCCCCCCCCAACAGAGTCCTAACAACGTGATCACCCCCAGCTTTAGCTGGGTCACAGGCAGGCATGAGCCCCGTATCTTCAGGGCGGTCTCTGGACACACACCTGGAACCCCCTCATGGGGGACAGCCTGGCAGTATCACATTACACTATAGTGCCACCATCCGGCCCCCTCGTGTTTTTTAAGGGCCATTTATACCTCATTTTCTGTGGGCTATTCATTTCTCTCCATTGCCCACTTTGACATTAGGCTGATAATGTGTTAGTGCTTTATAGATGTGCTTTATAAAGTACTTGAGAGAGACTAGCCTTTGTTATGGAAGTTGAAAATTATTTCCCCCAATCTGTTGTTTGTCTTGATTATGCACCAGAGGCTTTTGGATTGGCTTCAGGTACCAGAATAGATTTCAAATTAGTTACTTAGAATGCAGAGTTGCTGGTGTGGTGTAGTGGCATGCACCTACAATCCCAGCAGCTCAGGAGGCTGAGGCAAGTGGATCAAACAGAGCAAGACCCTATCTTTAAAAAACAAAACAAAATCCAAAAAGAATAGTTACTTTTAGTGTTTTTCTAGATTTAAGAAATACATGTGTGTGTTTCTTAATGAATTAAATTCTATGGTAGGTAATTTTTTTTTTTTCGATTTGCCAGTGTGTATGTGCACTTGTTAAGAGACAGGCAGAAAAGGAGAAAGTGCTCCTCACGGGGGACAGTCACAGTTACACTTCAATCTTGTCTCCATTGTTCCCTCCTCTTGGGATTTTGGCACACATGCACACATGCCCAGTGTGCTTTTCAAGTCACCCGGTCCAGGACTCAAACCATAGTCAGTCACATGGGATCCAGCTGCCTTAACCACCATGCCACTGGCTGGTCCCATTAAGAGACTTAATTTATAATTGCTAATATATGAAAGCATATTTAGATTTGATTTCTTATAATCAGACATGGTTGATTTTTTTTTTTTTAATTTTTCTTTCTTTCTTTCTTTTTCTTTTTTTTAAATTTTTGCTATCAGGTGTGTGAGCTTGCCATAGAGAGAGAGAAAGAAAGAGAAAAAGTGAGAAACCATCCTCTACAGGGGATGACCATACCGCAATCCTTTCTCTTCCATTCTCCTCTTGGGATTTTGGGCACGTGGGCACGCACACACATACACAAACACACCCAGCATAATTTTCTTTTCTTTTTTTAAATTTTCTCTTCCCCCCAGCATAATTTTCAAGTCACCAGGTCTGGGACTCAAACTATAGTTGACCATGTGGGAGTCCCAGAACCTTAACCACTATACTACCTGCTGGCCCTGGTTATTATTTTTTAATGCATGCATATTTGTTAGAAGATATAAGTAGATATCGCATGTAGCAAATAAACCAAAATTATGAAACAAAGTTTTTATTACTAACATTTATCTTTTTTTCCCCCAAAAGCAAGCTTATTCAAGAAAATGCTCTAAGAAGACACAATCTAAAGAAAATAGGAAAGAAACTGGAAAGAAACACCGGCCATAGTTAAGGGGCCACAAGCAGGTAAGTACAAAATGGGCAAATTTAAAATGTTTGTTTTCAGAAATAGCACAGAAGTTGTAGAGAAGGGCTGAGGCTCCAGTATTAGACTGACGACTCTGGGAAAGGCTGTCGCCCTCTCTGTACCACAGTTCCCTTATCTGTAAAATGGGAACGAGGGAACCAGCAGTTAGCGTAATGGCTATGTCGCTGGATTCCCACGTAGTCGACTGCGGTTCGCGTCCTGGACCCGGTGGCTTAAAACTCATGCCGGGCACATGTGCATGCGTGCCCAAGATCCAGAGAGGAGAATGGAGGAGAAGGGATTGCGGCGTGACCATCCCCCCTGGGGGGTGATTTCTCGCTTTCTGTCTCTATGTCTCTCTCTGTCTGTCTCGTGAGTGCACGCGCCCTATAGCGAAAAACCTCTCAAAAAAAAAATAAAAATAAAAAAATAAAATAAAATGGGAATGAGAGCTCCCGTCTCACAGAACTGTCATGTGAATTACGTGACTTTATATAAGGTCATCAAAAGATTCACAGGAAATATGTATTATGACAAAACTACACGTTGGATTTCAACATTTTCTGCACCAGAATAACGTTTTTTTTTTTTTTTTTTTTATGACTGACAGCACATATATGTACAGAAGAGGCAGAGACAGAGAACAGGACGAGTGGCAGTGTCTCATGCCAGGAGCCCCTTTCCCCAGCCCTCCAGCTCCTGAGACTCCTGGAAACACACATGCTAACTCAGTGTCAGATGTACTATAATTTTGCTTTTTCTTAAATCCCCTCATGTATGCGTGTGTGTGGATAAACGGGTATTGACAGAGTACACGGTATTGACAGAGTACACAGGAAATACACAGGAAACACTCGTGTTATTATTAGTTTAGTTACAGGGGGCGTGTACCTGCCAGAGAGAGAGAGAGAGAGAGAACCCCCCAGGGAGAAGGTTACACCACAGTCCCTTCTCCATTCTCCTCTCAGGATTTTAGACATGCACACACACACACCCGCTGTGATTTTCAAGCACCTAGATCCAGGACTCGAACCACACAGCCAGCCGCATAGAATCCAGCACCTTCACCTCCATGCCACCTACTGGCCCATATTATTGTTATTTTTATTTTAATGTTTATTTATTTAGTTTCATGTGCAAGTGAGAGAGACATCACCCCTAACAGGATTTTTTTTTTTTTTTGGGGGGGGAGAGGTTTTTGCTATAGGTCCCGTACACTTGCCAGAAAGACAGAGACAGAGAGACAGAAAGCGAGAAATCACCCCCCAGGGGGGTTGGCCATGCTGCAATCCCTTCTCCTCCATTCTCCTCTCAGGATCTTGAGCACACACGCACACGTGCCTGGTGTGAGTTTAAGCCACCGAGTCCGGGACTCAAACCACGGTTGACTACATGGGAGTCCAGCGACACAGTCACTACGCTAACTGCTGGTCCCCCCTAATAGGGTCTTGACACTGTGTTCTACCCCTGGCTTTAGCCGACCCCAGATCATGGGTACACGAGTGCCCAGTATGCTCAGGGAGATCTCTGGAAACAAATGCAGGATCTTCCCATGTGGGCGTCACATTTTACCACTGTCTAGCCCCATATTTATTATTTTTATAATTTAACCCTTTCTATTCATTGGCACAGGAAATCACCATTTGTTGACAGGTATTATAGGTATTATTAAACATTGCCCACAGTGAAGAATGGTTATGACATACCCACATTTTGTTTAGATGGTCTCTATTCTATAAAGCCTGTAAAGACAACTTGACTTGGTACATTCTTCCTTGACATAGTTTCCTGATTTTAAATGGATGCTTTGTCTCATTAAGTTGGCTAAACTCATACCAAAGGTCACTACTTGACAAACGAAATTTTACATTGGGTCAAATTTCCCAGCAGGTGGCATGGTGGTTAAGGCACTGGACCCTCTCACATGGCCAACCAGGGTTTGAGTCCTGAATATGGTGGCTTGCTTTCTCATTTCCTCTCTCTCTCTCACTCTTACCCTCTGTCTCTCTCTGGTCAAATTAAAAAAAAAATCAATGCATGAATAAATAAATATAATCAATAATTATTAAAAAGATTTCCCAGCATTAAATATATTATATATTTGTATGGAGAGAGAGCAATCACAACAGTAGTAGTGTGCAAGCAATTCAAGTTAATAATGAAGGAAAAATAAAATCAAATTCGTTCGACTTATTCTTCCGTAAAACCTAAATTGAGCCCATTCTACCACAAGCCACATGCTACCCATGTACTACTGCTAGCAACAAAGGAGAAGTCAAAGGATCTCCTTTGCACGCTACGCGTCTGGCCGTCCACGATCCCGGGGCTGACTTACCCTGTCGGATGCGTACACAGCATCAAACAGCCCGAGGAGGGTGACGGAAATTCCCACGGCTGGACCGTTCACCACTGCAATCAGAGGCTTAGGGAAATCTATAAAACACTGTACAAAATTCCTACAAAAATGGAAACAGAAGAGGACCAGATCGTTTTGACGAAGAAGCGAGACTGTCCAAGTCTGAGCTAACAAACCCTCCTGGCGGGCCTGGGTGTGTCTACGCAGTCTTGGAGATTCGGGTGGTGGGTACAACTGTGAGATCATGACAGGGTGGGATGGGGAGACAGGAAGGCTGAAGCCCTCCCAGCTTCTGCTGTGTCTTGAGAGACTACTTCAAGTCTCCTACTACTAGCAAAAATGAAACTCACCCTATCTTCTAGCCGGAGGAGAATTCTCTGCCTCACTCAACACAAGGGAATTCTATTTACAACTCTGAGGGAATTTCAAAGAGTCTGTGGGAAACTGGAATTAAAGTAAGAGTTGAGGGCCGGCTGGAAGCATGGCCAAATGCGCAGTTTGAGTCTTGGATCAGGTGATCTGAGAAACACCCTGTGTGCACATGCATGTGTGCCCAAAATCCCCAAAGGAGAGAGAGATGGAGGAGAAGGGATTGTGGTGTGAGTATTGCCATGGGAAGTGCTTTATCGTATTCCTTCTCTCTGTCTCTCTCCATGAGCACACATATCCCCTAGTAAATTAAATTTAAAAAAAGGTACAAGTTGATTTTGGTGCAAAAATGTGCTGAAATCAAAGCATAATTTTTTTTTTTTTGAGAGTTTTTTGCTATAGGGCGCGTGCGCTTGCCAGACAGAGAGAGACATAGAGACAGAAAGTGAGAAATCACCCCCCAGGGGGGATGGCCATGCTGCAATCCCTTCTCCTCCATTCTCCTCTCAGGATCTTGGGCACGCATGCACATGTGCCCGGCGTGAGTTCTAAGCCACTGGGTCCAGGATGCGAACCGCAGTCGACTACGTGGGAGTCCAGCAACATAGCCATTACACTAACTGCTGGTTCCCAAAGCATAGTTTTTCATAGTACTCATTTTCTAAGAAATTTTTCTTTTATAGTTCACCCTGAAGACTGCCAGGGAAATCTCTTTTATAGCCAACGAATGAACAGGTAATAAAAATCAAAATGATAGAAGTCAAAAAATCAAAGTGACCCACCTCTTGATGGAGGCCATTTGGACAAATACACTTATGTAACATCACGATGAACTACACTGATACTAAGAAGAAAACATTTTACTTTGCTCAACTAAACACTTCCTTGATGAGCAAAAACAAGCCCTTTGAGATCAGAAAATGGCACTTTTACCTCAGCAAGATGTGACTGCTTTTAGCTTTCTCCTCTACCCCACCAGGGGGAATGTCAGTGAAGTTAGTCAGGTCATTCCCACTGCAGTAGTAGTCACCAATACCTGTAAACAAGAAAGAACCGCCATTCATTTATTCTGTAATTACTGAGCATCTGTTGCGTGCCGAGCTCTGTGGTAGGCTCTGGAAAAACACCAGTGAATGAGCTGTGGTTCTCCTAATACAGATTAGTAAGTGAGCTGGAGCTAGACATTGCCTTAAAAAACACATGTAAAAAGAAAAGTAAGCCAGCCAATTTCTTTTTTTTCTTGGAGAGGTTTTTGCTATAGGGCACGGGTGCTCTCCAGAAAGACAGAGACAGAGACAGAAAGTGAGAAATCACCCCCCCAGGAGATGGCCACACCGCAATCCCTTCTCCTCCCCATTCTCCTCTTGGGATCTTGGGCACGCACGCACATGCGCCCGGTGTGAGTTTAAGCCACTGGGTCCGGGACTCAAACCATGGTCGAATACATGGGAGTCCAGAAACATAGCCATTAGGCCAACTGCTGGTCCCCCAAACCAGCCAATTTAATAAGGGTAGAGCATTCACAGAGCAAATCTTAACAGGATTTAAATCAGTTCTCCCAGCTCCTGGAGAACTCCAGCCAGCCTCATGGTCAACGTGGCATTTAAGTCGGTGGAACAGGAAAGTGTTGCACAAAAAAAGCCAGTAAGGGAGAGAAATCATTGGTTCCATTCTGAACTTTGTCTGCATTAACATGGTTTCAAAGGCAGAATGCCTGTGATTGACTGAAGCCTAGCTGCTGTGATTGGCTGTAACCTAGCAACCAGCTCAGAAAAACAGCCTAGTGCATTTGATTTTGGTTTGTCCACAGGAATTCAAGTGTGGGAGTATAGCGGCTGTTTTAGGCCAAAACAGTTGAACAAGTATTCCCCTTTTGGTCTCATACACACAGGGGGCAGGCCCAGAAGCACAGCAGTTATGTGTGGGCAGAGGAAGCTGGATCCCACGTGGCTAACTAGGGCTTGAGTCCCGGCCCCAGTGGTTTGAAAAATATGCCAGGCACATGCATGCGTGCTCAGGATCCGGGAATAGAAAAGAAATTGCAGCACAATTGGGTCCCATCGGGGGGGTGATTTTTCTCTCCTGTGTGCAAGTGTGTAGACACACATGCATCACCATCTGGCACACACAAAAAATGTAGATAATGTAACTATGGTACAAAGGGGAGGTGCGTGATTAGAGTGCCCATACCAGGGCATTGGGTCCAATCAGTGAGTTCTGGGAGGGACTTTCCTAAGGAAGGGACAGCTGAACTGATATCCGAAGAAGAGGAAAGGCTAGCTAGCAAGAGGGGATGAAGTATAATTGATGAGAGGGGGGAGCATGAGTGAAGGTGCTCTGGAGGAGGTACAGAAAGTTCTTTGCCAGAGGGAAGAGGTAGGTATACAGTGAAGGCAGTAGGATAGGCAATGGGGGGATCTGTAGATCCCATTAAGAAGTTTGGCCTTGGGAATAGCAGTTAGCATAATGGCTATGTCGCTGGACTCCCACGTAGTCGACCGCGGTTCGAGTCCCAGACCCGGTGGCTTAAACTCATGCCGGGCACGTGTGCGTGCATGCCCAAGATCCTGAGAGGAGAATGGAGGAGAAGGGACTGTGGCATGGCCATCCCCCCTGGGGGGTGATTTCTCGCTTTCTATCTCTTTGTCTCTCTCTGTCTGTCTGGCGAGCGCACGCGCCCTATAGCAAAAACCTCTTCAAAAAAAAAAAAAAAGAGTTTGGCCTTTATTCTAAGAGCCATTTGAAAGGTTTGTGTTTCTGATTAAACTATAATTTGCACACAATAAAATGACTAGTTTTTAAATGTTTAATTCAATGAGTTTGATCATTAGAAATGCCCCTGTGGGGACCAGCAGATGGCATAATGGTTATGGCTCAATGGTTATACCACTGGCCTCACAGGTAATTGACTATCCTGGACCTGGCAGCTTAAAACTCATGCCGGGCGCGTGTGTGCCCAAAATCCCAAGAGGAGACTGGAGGAGAAGGGACTGCAGCATGAACATCCCTCTGGAGGGGAGGGGGGTGGCT